TCCTTTTATAAATATTGTTGCTTGCTTAGCTTTTTTATAAGCAAAAAGCAACACGATTCAATATGGCCGCCACTGCCAACTGACCTTAATAAACACAATAATGGCTATAACTCTGCCAACTTTACAGTTATTAACCAAATATTTGGTGTATTACCTGAGCATCATCTCAGATTGTACATTTGTATATTAAACTTTGATGATAAAGCTTGGTGTCAAACCTGTCTGTTAGCAAAATATGTCATGCACCAGCCTTTTGATCCTATTGAAATTGTCAGAAGGTTATCGTTGGTTGTGCAACTAAAACTCATTCACATCTGGAGTCAACTCGTTTTACACGTGGCTGCCGCAGCTATTTAATAGTAGCCAAAGCAGAAATGGCAATAATTAAGACAGCTGTTCAAAAATTGAGCTAAAGTTTGGTGTGGTGAAACTTTACAACTAGAGAAAATGTGTTTCCTGTGAAAATGCAGTTTGCTGAAGAACTTGCTGAAAAACTGCTGAATTTTGGGAAAAGCATGCTGAAATTTAGCTGAAATGGAAGAACAAGCCTACGTTTGCAGAAGAAACTATAAAGAACACATAGTTGCTAAATTTGGTTTAAATAAGCAGAAACGAGCAACAAAATTAGTTTAGAAAAAAGGCTGAAATTAGCAACAACAAAAAAAATAGCTGAAAAGGCAGAAAGAAGCTTAAATTACCAGAAGGAAGTTGAGATGGCACAATTGTGCCCAATTAGGCTGAAAGAAGCAGAAATGAACACAGAAAGTGGAAATTATCTGAATAATTTTTGAATAAGAGCAGAAATGAGCCAAAAAAAAAAAAAAAAAAACAGCTCAATGGTAGCTGAATTAGCAGAAAAAGCCGAAACTTGAATGGATAAGCTGAAAGTAGCATAACGAGCTGAAATTAGCAGAAAGAAATTAGAAGAAGCACAAAAATGTTGTAGTTGGCAGAAATAATCTGAAAGGAGCATAAAACAACTGAAATAAAACAGCTGAAAGTAGCTGTTTTTTTTTTATTTGCAGAAAGAAGCTGAAAGAAGCTGAAGAAGAACAAAATGTGAAAGGAGCATTAAAAGGTTGTGAACAGATCTAAAGATCTGAAGGATGTAAAATGAGATCAACTCATTTTCTATGAGAGAAAAGGTGGAAGGAAAGGCTAAATGTTTCAAAAAGCTAAAGTTGCACCAATACCAAATGTCATAGAAGGATTATCCTGAAAGAGCTGAACGTTTTGATTTATGTTAAAGTTCATGCTCAGTTATCCAGGGAAAACCCCAACAAAGGTAAGTCAGGTCTTCTGGACGGTTTCTTTGTGTTGAAACGTTTCATCCAAAAGACTTCATGTGTCCAAGGATCCACAACAAACTCAGTCCCATCAGCAGAACACACATTTTCTACCTGGATTATTGAGCATGAACTTTGACCACTTTGGCCATGGCTGCCTCAGAGGAGGCGACAGGGGAGAGGGTGGACTCCAGAAACCATCTTGTCACCATCAAGCTGGCTGGCCCACCATGTGAGTGTGTGAAACACTTCAACAAAAATAAACCATCCAGAAGACCCGACTTAATTTAGTTGGGTTTTGGTTTATGATTTGTTGAAATAGCACAACAACTGTGGAACGAGAAAGATGCTAAAACGCGTATGGAAGGAAAGATCGCAACAGTGTGAACGCTTCTTGAACATTCACACTATTAACGGTTTGCTAAACCTGAGTTCAATAAGGAGGAAATGTAAAAGTGTAATTTGTTGGTGCAGATTTAAGCAGGTGGCAGAACGGGTGTAAGAGTTGGACGAAGGTGAGAGGTTTAGACAAAGAATCGGTCGTTTAAATGCACCGAGCCGTGCTCCTTTGAATCCAATAACATCACATTTGAATAGAAATAAGAGACCACTGTGAGGCCATATTGGATTTCCCCCTCCGTTACGTGACTGCGCGGCCCCGCCAGCTATTATTTCACCGTGGGGGGATCTGTGCCTCCTGCTCTGTGATCTGCAGCTCCGGTGAGACGCGAGCCTGAAAGCATTAACCTTTTTCTCCTACATTCTTAGAATAACCAGTTTCCACACGGATTTTTAAATGTAGGGATTTAAAAACTGTAAAGGAGAAGGGGTTTTGTCGGGTAATGAGGTCCATTTAAATTTTTATCAAATATTCTGACTTTTTAGAAGAGCACTGAGCTGTCTCAGAGCTTTCAACAGATCCAAAAGGCCCACGTCGCCTAAAATTACCATCACTGCTGACAAAGTGTTGGTGTGCAATAGAAGGCTGCGGGCGTCACGCAAGATTATTCTGAACATTTCTTTCTTGAACTGCCAAAGCAGAGCCTTGAATAGAGCTTTTTGCTGCAGGATTTAGTCGCCGTCGGGGCGAAGGCTGCTTCTCTGATGCTGCTCCGGGGCGTGTTTGTGCTTGCAGCGTTACATCCTCTGCAGCGCTGACCGTGACGTGCGCTGTCATCAGGGTTTCTATAGAGTGAACGTGTACACGACGTGAGACGCCGTGGAAATGGGGCACCAGTCCAAGCAGTCGCCTTCTGCATGGTTTTATGTGTGACCTTTGTATTCAGGTGGAACACAAGAAGAAAGTGTCAAATCCACTTCGCTCTGACGTTCTCGAGGCTGGAACACGCAGAAGCTTCAGACATGCGTCTTCGTGTTCATCAGTAGTAAAAATTAATTCATGCACAGCTGGCACTGATAAAAACGTGGCTCATCAAAACTAGTCAGCGAGGCTGAAGTCTCGATACGGAATCAAATGTTGTTATTTAAAGTTTTATTTCACTGTCGGGTTGCTGAGCTGAGAAAGAGAAACAAGAAACCATAATTTACTGCAATTAGATGCAATTTATAATGATTTTAAATATCAGCTATATAACAGTTTAATGGGTTTTTAATTTGTGTGAAATGATTGAGTCAGAAAATGCTGGAGAAAACAATCTGCTCAGTTCTTTTGATTTCTGATGAACCTGATGGAAACCTGGCGTGTGGGTCAAAGTTTAAAATAATACAAGTATAATTTTAGATGCACACCGTTCATCATCTGTGTGTGTTTTGCTCTTTAAGGCGGTGTCTCACTGGGCTGTGCCTGAGGGACTCTCCAGATGTTTGCAGTGGTTCTCAACATCCTGTCCTGAGACAAATTTTCTCTCAAAATAGTCCGAGTCATTGTGAGTGATCTAAAAATTGTCTGAAGAGCTTCAGGTGCATGATGACGCCTACACAGGAGATCTACGCAGACAGAAAACAGCTTACGTTAATGTTCAGGTCTAACAACCACCTTGATGAAAAATATTTAATCAAAAAGGTCAAAGTACGTTGTATGTAGTGCCCTCCAGTGTATCAAATCATAGATTTGTGTGCTTGTCAATGCGAGCGGAGGTGGACGCCAAAAATATAGAGCATGACCGATATATTGGTAGGGCCGATAAGTACCAATATAGACATTTGGGGATCTATCGGAATCGGTGGTAATTGTCACGCTATGCGCCGATATAAGCACTTATAATTTTCACCCATAAAATACTGGAAACCAGCCGTAATTGGACAGTGTGTCCAGCAGAGGGCGCCTGAAGACTACTTTCAAGTAATTCAGGTTCAGTTTCACATTCAGCACAGATGAAGCAGAGAGCAATACTGTGTAGCATATTTTTGCTGAACAGAGCATGGTACGTTTATTTTAAAGATCTTTAAAACCAATCAACAATTTTCTTCAATCCTCCAACCCGCTTCTTATTAGCTACGTGCCTCACAAGTTAGCAAGCTAAGGTTTAGCGTAGGCTATTGCCATGTAAAACTTTATTCAGTACAACAAATCTAACAAAGAGGTAAATATATTTCAGTGTTAGTAATGTTATCTTTGTCGTCCCCAATTAAATGCATTTTTTGTCCGAAGGAAAAAAAATGCTGCTGCGGTCAATACTAATTATACCTTCACCATACGTGACTGACTGTTAAAACAATGAACAGAGAAGGACGTTTCTTTGTCTAATTTATATTTTTGTAACACACTTGATAACTTTATGGTGAATAGTGGATAGAAAATAACGCACGTTAGAAAGACTGTTTTTATGACCACTTGTAAATCTAGACTGGGACTAGATATAGAGTGGATCTGATTAGCTTAGCTTCATGGTTGCTAACAGCCGCGCTAAATAAACAAGCCCCGCTTCACTCGCTGTTTACGTTGATTCCTGGGGGTGGACAAAGCTTTAAAAAAGCAGCCATTACCAGTATATCGGTTAGGCATTTGCCTTCCCCTCCCAATACTGGTATCAGCAATAACCAAAATTTCCATATTGGTCGGGCTCTAAAAAAAAGTGCGTGGCCACGAATGCAGTTATGCAAGTTGTGTATATTAAAATAAGCCGTGGTTTTAACAAATTAACTGTTCAGAATGTGGGTGTGTGGCTTGCTCGCTACTTGGTTTAAATTTTAAAAAATAGTTCTTGGAATTATCCCACAATTTTGCACCTCCAACACAGCCCAGTTTGATACCACTTGATTTGACATTCGCTAAGTTTTGTACTTCCTGTCTGTGAAATTTGTTGCAGTTTTTTTTTTTTATCCTAACATGCTGGTTTAATAAATTGATCATTGTCTGGTTTAATTTTCAAACTACTCCTCTCTTGACCTTTTCTGTTGTATTTTAGCATCGCATCTCGGCAGCGCTAAACGAAAGGTTTTGTTTTCACAGTCTGGTAGTAATTGTGTCAAAGATAAAGGCCTTACTAAAATTCAAACTTTTTTAAACCAATATTCTTAACCACATTGAGTTTTACATCATAAATTATTAAATAAAACAAAGAAATTGAAATAAATATTTTCCAGCCTTAACCCTGGTTGAGCCAGGCTGTATGCCATGAAGGAACTAAGACTTAATTCATATTTACAATTCTTCCTAATTTTTTCGTCATCTTCATCCCGTCCATCCACATTTCACGTCCCCCGCACAATTTTCCTCTCCTCCGTGTCTCCATTCCCTTTTCCCTGTGAAAGCCAAACTGTCTGCTGTGGAGAGCAGCAGCTGCATGTGCAGGACGCCGTGCAACACGACCCGCTACAACAAAGAGTTATCCATGGTCAAAATCCCCAGCAAGACCTCGGCGCGCTACCTGCAGAAGAAGTTCAACAAGTCGGAGAAGTATATCACGTGAGTAAAAGATGTGTTCATGTCCACCGCTGTGTCCGTGTTCGTCTTCAGTTGTTTCAGACAAGGTGGCGACCATAGGCCAAGATTTCACTGTAACGTTTTTATTTATAATGACATTTACGCTCAGAGTTTAAATTAAAATTCAGTGGCAAGTACAGAAGATAAATCAAAATAATATGGGCTGGTTATCAGCTCACGTTCACACCGCAGGCAGATCTGGCTCAAATCTGTTTTTTTTTAGGACGTGACAAATTTGGATCGATTGTGGATTGATAAGTTTTCAGAATCAGTTTTATTGTCATTGCACCCAAGTGCAACAAAATTACATTTCAGTACAGCCCATCTGAGAGAAACAAACAAATAAACAAGCACGAGGAGACGGAGGTGACTGATGCCGCCGGCATCGAGAGGCGCAGCCCTTTTTTCAGATAAGGAAAGAAACACGAGGGGGAGTGGAGGTGTATAAAAAATCTCGGACTGTGTCCCACACCGAACACAATGTGAAAGTTGCAAAAAATTGACCTCGGCAACAGCAACATACTGATGACATCATCATACAGTTACAGTATGTATGAGGAGGCCGATGAGGGCAGAGCGTTGTCCGTGGACACTGCCACAAAGTTCCGTAGTCCTGATAAAGATGGCTCAGTGTCTATCAACTCATCTCTGATACAGATCCACAGATGTCATCGGGAGGGGAGTGAAAACCGTCTGCCCTCGTTGAGAGCAAGCAGGAAAACATTCGATATTGATTCCAACGTCGAACAGTCGTGGATCACCTCACGTTTTCAGCTACAGAAGTCCAGCTGCTTTCTTGCTTTTTTTGTTTTGTTTTGTTTTTGTTTCCCTGCTCCAACACCTGATTCAGTGATTTAATTACCTCCTCATGTGCTGCAGAAGCCTGTTAGTCACGCATTCATTCAAACCAGGTGTGTGAAAGCAGAGAAACAACTAAAACATGCAGGATGGTGTTCCTCAAGGACCGTGGTTGGGAACCACCGGAAAGGCACTGCAGGCAAACGCAACCCAAATATGATTATTTTTGCACATATGCAGCTCGTATCAGATGTTTTTAATGACGGTCTGAATGACGGTCAACAACAGATCCAAACCTTTTTCATTTGTGGTTCTAAATCAGATCTGTATCCAATGTTTTTCAAAGAGACTGCTGTCTGGACGGTCATGTCTCATTTCATCCAGGAGGTAGGGGTGAGCGAATCGTTCCAGGTATTGATGATAATGATTTCAGCCACGGGCAGCACGGTGGCGCAACTGGTAGAGCTGCTGCCTCTCAGCGAGCAAGCCAAATCCCAGTCCGGGGGCCTTTCTGGGTGGAGTTTGCATGTTCTCTCCGTGCACTGTCTTTACTGCTTAGTGGGGAAGACAGTTTGCTTGGGACTTCTCAGACCGATGAAGCCCTTCGGATGGAGGGCGAAACATCTCTCAACAAAAAAAAACGAAACTGTCCAGATGACCTGACTGAACATTGTTGGATTTTTTTACCTGGATGATCGAGCATGAACCTTCTTCAGGTTCACACTGAAACCTGTTGGAGGCGGCATTTTAACGCTGCGCGACAAAAATCAGATTTGAACCGAAAAAAACTGGAATTCAGCATCAGGACCTGCGGCGTGAACGTATCCTTCGAGGCTTAAAACAAGCAACTTTAGCCTTGATCTAACGGTCAAAGGAACTCGATATTTAAATGTTCTTACCGTGATATGAAGCTTTTAGTGGAAGAACCGTTTTCTCATGCATGATTTTCCTAAATGTTTTCTGTTAAACCAGGAAATCATTTTTATTGTTCTTGTTTTGGTGATTTTAAGAGAGCAGTAAAAAGAATTGCTGGTGAAAGTAAACAGCAGATTGTTGATTCTGCTCAGTTCTGAATACCTGGAGGCTTTTTCCTGACTGAGATGAGCTCCAGCTACAAGCTTCCTCTCCACCCACACTGACCCTGTTCCTAATTGGCTTCCTTGCCAAGCGATTACCTGATGTGAGATTCATTAGAGCAAATCTGCATCTTTCTTCTCTTCGCAGAGACAACATCTTGGTGCTGGATGTGTTCTTTGAAGCTCTGAACTACGAGACCATCGAGCAGAAAAAAGCCTACGAGGTGGCAGGTTTACTGGGTACGTCCGCCTCATGCTCATATTAGACGTCAACTGTAATAATCGTGTTAAAATGTAGCAGAAAATGTTGAAAACGGTTTAAACGTGGCAGTTTGGGCTCGTTAAAAATATAAATTGGACACTTAAGTTTTTTCCTTCGCTCTGTCGTGTTAAAGTTTTGTGCACGTTAGTGTTTAAAACAATCCTCCATTCTTCTACAGTCCATGTCATGTGTGTTAAAACAGTCATAGATGATTGAGTGGATGATGTTTTTGCACGTGTTTGTGGGTGTCCATTATGAACATATCTCTAGAACCTCTGGACAGAACATGATCATGAATTCTTCTAAAACGGGTTCAATTTTGGAGTCAACCAAATTCAAAATGCTCGCCACAGTCAGCTGGCCTTGAAAAACACAAAAACAGCTAGAGCCCCGTCAAGTGTACGGATGTTGATGAATCTCAGACTACAGTTTTGTGTGGTAGTAGCTGAGACTGCCTCCCCAACACATTCTGAGCACCCACGCTCTGGCTCTTTAAAATCTTTTTCACTATCGGAGTCCACTCTGTTTGTGTGTTAGCTAAAAAAATATCTTCAACCACAGGATACATTTTAATTAGATTGTCAGGAAATAGTGGGGTGGTGCAGAGGCTAGAGAAGGTGAACATGCGATCAGAAGGTCGCCAGTTCAACTCCCCGGACCGGCATCGAAATGTGGGTATTAAAGGTGAAGCACCCACACCTGTCTCCACCCTCGTTTGCACCAATCTGGGCCCTTGAGCTCTTAACCCCACCATCTGCTCTCCCGGGCGCCCCAGATGACACCCCCCCCCCCCCCCCGCTCCACAAAGAGGGCTGTGGTAGCTCTGCGGTTGTGTCACGATGGGCGTTTGGCGTAAAAACAATTACAATTTACAGTCGACTACAGTTCAGTCAACTTCACATATGCTGAGCTAAGGTTTGGTGTGGTTGTAGCTGAGAGTCATCACCAACACATACTGTGAGGGCCAACAGAATGGGCAACAAGTTTGGTTTAAACTTTGAGGGTGTCGGTGTTTCAGGTTAAGAGAAACATCAGATCAGTTCTGGGTTATCCCATGTTTATCACTTTATTGTATGCTGATTGAAGCTCATTTTATAAAAAATTAATTAATTAAAATCCTCCTTTTATACAGTTCCTGTTTTTCATTTATGCTTATTAATAAATGGATCTGGATCCATCTTTGCAGCACAGATTCTTTGCATTCTGCCTCATCCCAAGCAACAAAAACTTAAAAGCACGACGGCTCAGTGGTTAGCACTGTAGCCTCACAGCAAGAATGTTCCTGGGTTCAATCCCCAGTTGGACCTGGGGTCTTCCTGTGTGACGTTTGCATGTTCTTCTCATGCTTGCGTGGGTTTTCTCCTGGTGCTCCGGTTTCCTCCCACAGACTAAAAACATGCATGTTGGGCTGCCTTCAGGTCCAGGACTCCCTTGCAAAAGATCTGTGGTCTCGGTGGGATTTACCTGGTTAAATAAATGTAAATAAGTAAATAAAAGTCCTAACATCGAGTAACGGTTCATCCAGGTTTATTTCTTCTTATTTGTGACTGTGTGTTTTTTTACAGGTGATATTGGAGGACAGATGGGTTTGTTCATCGGCGCGAGCATCCTCACCATCTTAGAGCTCTTTGATTACGCTTATGAGGTCAGTGTTTGAACTTTTCCACGCACGTCGCCTCCTGACAGATTCTCACAACACGTGTCTCCAGGAAACTGTTGGATTTTAAATTATGGACCGGCATGTTGATGCATCTGCATTTTACTAACAAATAAACGATCCGAGCATTTAGTCTGGCTACAAAGTCAGCTGCAGTTTTATTTTTTTTAAACGTTCTTGAGTTGTGGCTTTTTGCTGTTTTTTCTGAGAAGAGCTAAAGCCCCGAACACAAGGCCAGCTGATAATAGAAACTGATGCTAAGAGCAGATAAGAGCTGAGGGAGAACATCAACTGTGATTTTTACTTTTCCATTTACCGACTCTCGACTGCATGTTCCATTTTTTTTTAAGTTTCTTGTGCAGCTTTCAGCTCCACGTGGTTCTGCTAAACACGTAATAGACTTCACTTGTGTTTTCAGAAATTCAGAGAAAAAGTAATGGTTGATTTAAAAAAATGTATATACATTTTTCCCCCCGTTTAATTTAATGACCATAATGGAGTAATGGGCATAACGAACCTTTAGGCTGCCAACCAAATCGTTTCCTGGGCTACCTTTAAGAGCCGTTCAGAGGGTTTCACGCTGGAGCGTAATGGCCCAGTTTGTTGCTCCATGTGTCTCCAGTTTGGCTTTGCGACCTTTACTGTCTGTAACAACAAGAGAAAATCTTCTGTTAGAAACAGAACAAAAGCTTCAGACTTATTTTCTGATCTGCAGGTGGTGAAAGACAGACTGCTGGACTTACTGAGCAGAGAGGAGGAGGACGAGAGTCACGCAGAGGAGGTGGTAAGAGCTTATTGTTTCCAACATCTGCAGTGAAAAATCTGTGTACGTTTTAAAATCTGCTCTAAGTTTAAATAAAGTTCGTCTTTTCTCATACCTTAATGAAGTGTTTGTTGAGCTGTTCCATAGCATTCTGACAGAAAGAGCTCCTCTCGAATAAAATAAGTAGCAACAATACTTTTAAACAAAGTATGGTTATTTTTATGAACATAAACTGTAGCTTCAATTCAATTCACTTTATTTCTACGTTGAAGAATCATGCGCTGAAATGCTCTAAGGAACATTCTAAGGAACGTTCAGCAGCTTTTGTTGAATCTTCGCTTCGTCGCAGTCTCCCGTCCTGAGCAAGCACAAAGGAGACAGTGGAAAGGAAAAACTCCCTTTTAACAAGAAGAAACCTCCAGCTCAGGACGAGCGGCCATCTTATTCAACCGTCTGGGTTTGAGAGGAACAGGAAGGAGAACCAGACACAGAATGGCAGGTCCAGGTGAACTTTCTATTGGAGGAAAAACTAATAAAAAATACATGTTAGAGATATAAACAATTACAAATACAAACTATTCATTTGAGGAAATGTGCTCAGCCTGTCCTCCAGTAGTCTAAGCTTATAGCAGCATAACTAAGGGGTACCTCAGGAAACCAAGCTAACCCTAACTATAGGATTTATCAAAAAGGAAAGTCAAATTAATGTCATCAGAATTGTTGGAGGCAAATGTGGCAGCAAACTTTATTTGAGGACAAACTTATTTAACAGTGTAAAGATTAATATCTGCTGTTGTGTGCATGAGATTTACAGTAATTGACATTGTGGGGTTTTAAGGATGTTTGGCTCTAGTGGCCATCTTGATAAGGGTTGAGTACAAAAGTTGATCAGTTGTAGATGCCAACTCAAATTAACGAAACTGAAAGTTTAGACAAAGTTTAGTTGTTCTTTGCTCATTGAAATGTTCACGGCTGCAGCACGAGTCCAAAGTACATTTGTGAAGAGGACAATTGTAAATACCCCAGTCTGTCTTGTGAGCTGAAAACTTGGACAATAATCCACGTGCCGACTTCCATCCCGGTGCATTTTAACAATAAAGGTGGTTTTTTTTGGTAGAATTGTGACTGAGCTGATGCTCCAAACAAACAAAGTTTAGGATTTTAGTAGAAGTTGTGAGATTTCAGCTTTATTTTATTTTATTTTTTAAGTTCACTTTTTGCTTTTTAAAACTTTAAAAGGTCACAAAACAAAAAGCAAATGGCAGCTTTTGCCTTAAAATGTGAACAGGTTTTTTTTTATGTCAAATTCTTTCTAGTCAGTCAAACAAAAATTCAGAGTCGTGCCGACAAAACTTTGAATTCTTCGTGTATTAAGTGCTTGTGCTTTCATGCACACGTGTAAGAGCTGCCGTGCTTACGTGTTCGCTTCAGCTCCGGCACTTAAAGTTTGTAAAAGTCTTTATAAGTTGTATGAATATCGTTTCTTTGACTTTCAGAGTTCCTGCGACCCAGTGGCGAACCACTCAGAATCCATCAGCCACACCGTGACAGTCCCCCTCCAGACAACTCTGGGCACCCTGGAGGAGATCGCCTGCTGAAGACCCCCCTCCCCGAACTCAGCAGCTGCCTCCACCAGGTTGAGCATCCTTTACGGAGTCCTGCAGGACCTATGGGGGCGGGGAGGAGGACAGGAGCAGGGGTTGGGCTGAGGACAGCGCTGCTCTGTCACACCCTTCTGTCTGAGGCGCTAATGGGGATTAAAGACGTGTCGAATGGATTAATCAGTCACCCAGCTCCGTTCTGCAGAGGGAGGGCGGCCTCTGCTGTGACGGACCCTCGCTGAGTTCTTTCCTCAAATATGCACAAAGAATATTAAAGACTGGGAGGGACAGCTGTCCTGTGCAGAATAAATATGTAAAAATAATCCACACTCGTACGTCTCTCACTGCCAAATTAGCTGTAAAAAAGAAACTGGTCTCCAGACTGCATGCGTCGATCTGTGTCGCTCTCTTTGCTCATGCTGGACTGCAGCGCTGCTTTACTCTGTGTGTGTGTGTGTGTGTGTGTGTGTGCGCCATTTGTCTCTTTATCTGCAGAGCGAGCCCGCTGAGATACCAACCCTTCGAATGTACAGATTGAACAGTTAAGCACTGTTCAGGCTGCTGGGAAGCTAAAGATCGTTGGATCGTTTTTATGGCGTGTAAGCGTTATTGTGAGGAAAAAATCTAAAGACCTGCACACGTTTGATTTTATTTTTCCAGCTGCCATGTTTAGGGTAGTCGTTGAACCGGATGTCAGGTTTGCTTCGTGACTCCTGTGGTGCTAAGCTGTAACTTACAGACATCACGGTGAGGATGTCAGACCCTCCCTGTTAATTTATGGGCGTAAATGAGTGACTTGAGGCTGCCGCACCTCAGCAGAGCACTCAGCTAATTGAGACCGAGTCTGGATTTATCTGCTTGCCAAACAGCAAGTTATGTACACAACTGTTGTTCTGCTAATCCATTACTTCATTAAGAAAATGTCAGGGCGGCATTCTGAGAAGCCATCATCATTTTGTCAAGTATTTGTTGTTTTACCAAAACAACCCCCATGTTCGACGGTTTTCATTTAAATAAGAATATGAAGGATGTTTATTAGCATTTAATTATTCTCTTGAGTTGGCTGCTTTACGATGTAAATATTTATTTTTTCACACAAAACGGGTACAACTGGTAGCACTTTGGATTAGCTGAATGTCACACTAAAAATGGAGACACTGAGCACCTCACACCTTCTTCAAGACCCGACTGAACGTGTGTTGCAAACGACTCGACACCAAAAGCTTCTGAGAGACTCTTTAGACAATTTAGCGTCTGCTCCGTGATCCTGGCACGGTGTCTGTCATGGCGGTAACGTGCGTTTCAGCCAGGAATGAGTTCAAGTCCTTCGCCGGGCTGTTTGGATCATGATTTCCCGTCTGTGGCTCAGCCTGCCGTCTCTGCTCCTGATGGGCACCGTCCTTCACGGACCTGCGGGGACGTGAGACAAACGTGTCTCTCTTCGTTAGGTGGCAGCAGCTCTGGCGTCAGTTGTTACCGCGGGACAGCGTTTTCTCATCGTTTTGTTTTTCTTTTCTCAGCGTTCTTTCATTTTGTGATGCAGCGAACAGTGTGTTTTTATTGTGAAATGATTAAAGGAAAAAATTGTTTTGCACTCGTCGGTGTGTTGTTGTGAAAGGACAGAACGAGCTCGTTTGTTTCTCGCTCTCTTTAACGACGACTCTTGCAGATGGTAATGCAGAAGAGACAGAGGGTCCACGTCCTCACGCTCCGTTGAAGGACAAGTTGAATCCGAGAGGGCAGAATTGTTAAAACCGTCACCTTTTTGCTAAAAAATGACCCGATGGTTTAATAAAGTTTTCTTTACTTTACGTCCTCCAATAAAACAGACGTGCGCTGCTAACCCGTCGTTAGCCCTGGATCTTTAATTTGTTTCATTCTCACTGGTCCAAAGTGACCAGCATGGATCGGGTCAAACATATCCTGCCAGTAAAGTGGTCATTTTATAATCCTTTCAAAATAAACTTCACTGTCAGAAAGATGTTAAAGATGCTCCAGTTTGTTTCTCTTTTCTTTTTGCATAAAGCGGGAGGTGCTCTGTAAAATAAAAAAAAATGGAAAACACCGACTTGAGTATTTGAAAACCTCTGCCCCTCCCTGGTGATGCTTCTGACGGGGGAAGATTATGTAAAGGTCACGGATGTTTTCACTTACTAATGACAAATTAATATAGAACCACACGTGAAGACAAGAGTCTTTGTGTCTACTCAGAGAGGAGCCTGATAACTGATAAACTCTGACGCCTTCAAGAACTGTGATCTGTGAAGCAGAGGTTGTCTTGACCTCGCCTCTGTCTAATAACGCGTATTTAAGCTTTTGCTAACTTTTTCTGTATGAGCAGACCTTGGAGACGGAGCGACATGTAACATCTTGTATGCTTGTTTTTCAGCTCTGCTTCTCTTGCAACATTAAACCTGGGTTGTGGCTAATGAGTTGATCAATTCAAAAATACTTTATTAATCCCAAAGGGAAATTATTTGTTGTTGTAACTCGTTATCCTCATTTCATTAAGAGATGTTATAGATGCTGATGCTGTAGACAGGAAGGATCTCTTGTAAAGGTCCATCCCACAGTGGATCCTAAGAAACTGGCTGCAGATGCCGTCCCATCCGTCCACCCAGACCCTGCTGGCCTCTCTGTTCCCCTGGACTGTAGGACCGCCTGAATGTCAGACAGAACTCCTCCCAGTGCGATGGCCACTCCTCCCAGCAGCCTGCTGAGCTCCTCATCGCTGCGGACAGCCAACTGCAGGTGCCGAGGGATGATCCTGTCCTTCCTCTGTCACGAGCCGTGTTTCCTGCTAGTTCCAGGATCTCAGTGGTCAGGCACTCGAGCACAGCTGGCAGGTAGATGAGAACGCATCCACAGAACATCCTTTCAACTCATCTGAGATTTGGGGCTGTAGTTGATATTATTCGAGCTTTTGAGATGTTAATCAGCTGCTGTTGGTTGTAGAAAACTGCCTTGTTGCCATGGTTACGCATCATAACAAATGTCCAAAACTAAAAAAAAATTCAGTAAAAATCCTTCCAGCTGCACAGCATCTGATACCAGAGGAAACAATCATCCAAAAAAATGTGATTTACATCCAGAAAAAGAGGAATTGAAGTTTCCAAAAGCAAAATCTCAGAATGAAAGTAAGAGAGCTGCTCCAACATGCAGCCACCTGGAGCGCCGCAGTTCTAGAGCATTGATGATATTGATAGGAAAATTAAATTATCCAACATTTTTGGTCCTTTGAGCCGGATTCACTCACAGCCTGCATTAAATGGAAAGTTCGGCAACACTGTTTCTGAGACTAGCACAAAGTTGTTGTTTTTTGTTTTATTTTTAGTAAAACTATAGATTGTTGGATAATTTAATTATCCTATCATCAAGTCATTAATCAAATAAGCCACACAAAGAATGTGAGATCTTTTTAACCCAGGTTTACTTCTCGCAACAGGCTTACAACGGTGTTGTGCAAAGCTCTGGTCCAAGGTCTGCCCACAGACGAAGAGTTAGGAAAAGCTTCGATACTCGTTATCAGACGGAGAGGTCAAGACAGCTCTGCTTTCCAGCTCGGGGGCCTTAAAGTTTATCAGGTGTGCAGGCTCCACTTTGTTCAGACAAAACAAATCTGACGCACACACGTGGTTCTATATTAGTTTAACGTCAGTGATAACATCCATGACCTTCACATAACACGCAGATTATGATGGAGGTTAGAAAATGTGAATGAGGTCTAACCTCAAAATTCAACTGAAACTTCTCCTGGATGAGGATTACGAAGTTCATCCTCCTGAGGATGTTTCTGATGAGCATCAATACAAAAGTATCAGTGGGTTTTCTTATAATATTTTAAAGTTGTCTTGATCGATACATTGTACTTATCTTTAAGTACGTCCAGTGCTTTATTTGAAGCAGATCCTGCTGGAACAAGATCAGGGAACTCTAATTTTGACTGGGTATGTTCCAGCAACTCCGATCTCCACCTCTAAAAGTCCAAAATCATTGCGCATTTTTATTTAGATTATTTATAATAAAAAAATACGAGCGGAGACGTTGCCCAGTCTGTGGAGTGAATATTACGGCTGCTGCATGGCGCACCAGCTCGCACACACGCTCCTGCCCAGCAGACGTGGACGGCATGTCCCGCGTGGATGAAGTGTTTTCTATGTTATGGCAAGCCAAGTGGCCCAATAACAGCCAGACATGTGGTAAAAGTGGCTATTAATGGGCCACTTGGCTTGCCATACCTTACGCACAGTAACGTCTCCAGACAGCTCTGAGCACACACACAACTGCTGATGTGAACTCACGCATACGTTTCAGACATAACAAATAAAAGGACACAGAGTCGGAGCTGCTCTATTCACACACAACCTGTTGTTGCTCTCTAAAACAGTAATTCAATCAAAAGTTTACAAATGTACAGTAGATGTTTAACAACCCGTTAAAATTGGCTGCACCAAAGCGCAGGAAATGGCATCTACTTCCTCCGCTCACCTGCACCGGCCCACGATTTATGTTCCGGCATCGATCACTTTCAAATTAAGCCCTGACGTACAACATATAAAGTACCGGTATATCTTTAAAGCTTTCTGAAGTTCTTTTAAAGTTTAGGCTCTTTGGCTGCTTTTTATTTGTTTTCAAGGTTCTTTACTGTCATTTGCATCACATGTGGTACATGAGGTGGAACAGAATGATGTACTCAAGGTCCCAGTTACACCCAAAAGAGTCGAGTTCATGCATCTGACCAGGATATTGTGCAACGTGTGCAGAACCAAAGAAATGCCAGATGTAATATACACATCTAAATAAACTCTACAGCAGATGAACTTCATCTACAAGTCATCCAAAATATAAATAAAATAAAATAAATCAAATGTGGCAAAGAGCTGAGAGATGCATCTTCCTTCAGTTCACCTGATGAATGTCAGGTTTTCAACTAATAACTGTTCATTTATTTTTTTATTTATTTAGGATGCTAAAACTTTGTTTTCTATCAAACTGTGTTCACTTCAGTGTAATTTGTATATTTAACTAAAACACATGTTTGTGTGGCAGTCAGCTGTTCAAGTGCCTGAAGATCCTCTTTTAAATTAAAGTTCTTCATAATTATTCGGCACAGATCTTGAGGTACTTTTAATCTCCATGTGTCAGATTAAAATGTGTTAATGTACATTCTTCAGATAATGTTTA